GGGCAATTTGTTCTTTTGTACTCTTTTGATAAAATTTGAAGTTCATATTTCTCTACCTTACTCTCTTATGATCCATGCATTTATTCCTATGCGACTGATTTATTTCTTGATCTTTAACAATCTTGTAAACGTGATATTTCACGAACACGAAGTTTGGTGGTTTCATAGGATAATCAGAAGAGGTAGGTTTCATTTCATGGGATATAAAGATAAGAAAAAGACAGATGTTGATGGGCAGTGGAAACTAGACAATGTAGAAGAGGGGACCGATGATTGGTGGACATATATTTTTAGTGTCACTCCAATTATGTCAAAATCAGAATCAACTTGATAAAGTAGAGGTGGTGGGGGTCCTGATATAGTTCGGTAAACTTATGGATGATACATTGTGCTTAGTTAGGTTGATGGAGATATGTGGGTTCGTTCTACTTATTTATCTGTTAAAATAAATTCAAGCATATCAGACCAACTAAGTAGTTCGGTGCTATTTTAACTTTTGCCTAAAAATGGGTCCAACACTTCACTAGATTCTTGAGGATAGGAATGGGGAATTGTATTATCGCCTTCTAAATTATTGCTCCACGCGTTATTACTTCTTAAATACTTTAAAAGTTTGAGAGATAATATTCTTAAATACTTGTGTAAACACACTAATACAAATTCTTGTAATATGATTCAATTATAAATAAGTAAAAACACATACCTCAAATTCACGAAATATGATCTTTGGAACACTTTTGTAAGTGTGAGATTTGATAGTCCTTTGAAATATTCGAACAATTCAGGGCTTAGATCATTTGCATGTTTGTCCTTTTGATGCCCTTGATGAGTCCCTATAGTTTTGTCATTTTGACGTGCTAATAACAAAAACATTTTCTTCGAGTGTCGTAGTTCTATGTGTTGTGTGTTTCCAGAAGTTCATAATGTAATACATTTAATTTGTGTAGATAAAAAAAATTAGGTACTCAGAAAGAAAGAAAATCGTAGGATTCTGTTTCTTTGCTTATACGGAAACAAAATGTGTGGAATTGGCCAAAAAATTTGGAATACTAATTGAACAATCCCGTTGGATTAAGCAAGTCTCTGAAGAAAAAAAATCCACCATGATTAAGGCTTTTGCACTGGTGATCGCTTGTTTCGAATAGTCCTGTTGGATTGGGCAAGTGCGTGAAGAAAAAAAACCACCATGATTAAGACTTTCAAGCTGGGTGGTCGCTTGCTTCAAAAAATCCCACTGTGGGTTGGGTAAGTGTCTGGAAAAAAAAATTCACCATAATTAAGGCTTGCAGCTGGGCGGTCGATCGTTTTGAGCAGTCCTGTTAGATTGGGCAAGTGCCTGAAGAAAAAAAAATCCATTTATGATAAGGCTTTCGAGGTGGGTGGTTACTTATTTCGAATAGTCCCGTTGGATTGGGCAAGTGCCTGAAGAAAAAAAAAACACCACCATGAATTAAGACTTTCGAGCTGGGTGGTTGCTTTCTTCGAACAATCCTACTGTGGTTGGGCAAGTGCCTGAAGAAAAAAATCACCATGATTAAGACTTTCGAGCTGGGTGGTAGCTTGTTTTGAGCAGTCCAGTTAGATTGGGCAAGTGCCTGAAGAAAATCCACAACAATTAAGACTTCTCGAGTTGATTGGTCAATTGTTTTGAACAATCATACTGTGGGTTGGGCAGGTGCTCAAAGACCAAAATCCCATTAATTATTATCATATTTTTATCCACATTATCTAACCGATTTTTTAAAATTTAACTAATATAATACTTTAACTAATTATTTATTTAACAAGATTTATCACTTTTAACATGCCATTTTTTAATTTAAAATGGTAAGATTATTCTTATGGATATATTTTCTAAAATATTAAACATTTTAGAAACTTTTAGAAAAAAAAGAGTCATCCTGCTTTTTAATTTATTTGAAATACAAAATTATATTTTAAATATATTAATATATGTTTATTATTTTTTCCTTATGTGATATAATCTAACCTTGGTTATTTGATATTTAAATTCAAACATTAAAGGAAATGATCACAAGTATATTTTTGGGTACATTTCATTTTACCTTAACATCCATATAATAATATTCATAACAAACCAATTAATATAATATTTTTTTATCCACATTTATTCAACTGGGTTTTTTAAAATACAATTAATATCATATTTTAACTAATTAATCATTTATCTAACCCGATTTATCTCATTAACAGACTTGCCAAATTTTTTGAAATTAAAATGGTAAGATTATTTTGGTTTGTGGTGCTTTTTGGTGCTTCCAAGTTATCGTGTTTCGATGCGTTAATGGTGTTTTCTTGAATCTACAAAATTGATTTTCTACCGAATTTCAAATGTTATGCTATCTAATTTGTTACTTACAATATATTGATTTTATAATAATTTTAAATTGTTAATTTTATTATATTGAATTTGTATTTATAATAATTAAATATATGATGACAATAGGATTTTCTATTAATTGTTTGATAAAAAAATTAAATAAAAAAGAAAAAATATGATATAGGATAATACAAAAAATTCTATGGAGCCATCAGATGGTTTTATTATGGAGCCATCCACCATTTAATGTATTGACACTTGTCCAAATTGTATATATTGTAGGACACATGTCAATACATTATTGGTGAATGAGTGTGGATGACTCTATAATCTATAGGTAGGACACATGTCAATACATTATTGGTGAATGCGTGTGGATGACTCTATAATCTATAGGAAAAGTGTAGGATAATATTTTGATTTTTCTTCTAATTTGGTCAGTAATTTGGCTAATGTTGACCATTCAATAAACTAGTTGTTGACATAAAAATCATCTCGCATGAGGGCTGAACGACACGTGGATCGTGGAGGTGAGCCGCGTTACACAGGAGAAGGGAAGAGTTCCCCGAGCTGGAGAAACCGACCTCTCTAGAGGTGCCGACCTCTTCAGTAAAACCGACTCAAGTGGGTACGACATCCCTAAAGGCTAACGTCGGCGTCCATAGGCTGCATTAAATGCATGTCTATCAAATGTCCCAACCCACGTGAGAGCATCATTGTTGGGGGATCCACTTGCAGAAAAAGCCTAACCTACACTGTCACACCGCATTAAATGTCGCCGTATCTCATAAAAGACGAGCCCACAGTGACTATAAATAGGAGCATTAAACCCGATACGAGGATCTTTTTCCGAGACATTAAATTCTGTATTTATCACCTCAGCTTGAGCATGCAATAGACCACTTGTAACGACTTGCGACAGTTAGCAAGACTTTCGTATTTCATCAATAAAGCAATCCTAAATTAGTTGATCAAATCCGTTTATCAACAGTTTGGCGCTAGGGGAAGGGACTCATAAGATATCTTGAGGTCAACTTTCGAATCCAGCACCCCCAAAAAAGTTAAGGCGCAAAGCGATGGCGCAATCAGGACAAGGTGATCAGACAACAAGGGGAGGGGACAGCCGCGGCCCAATCCCTTCTGCCGGTAGAGCCAACACAACGACAATACCGGATCTCACGACACTCATGCAGAACCCCGAGTTCGCGAAAGGATTCTCGGCACTGTTGGCCCAGACCGTGCCGGGAACCTCGAGAGCCGTGCCGGGACAGTCGCTCGCACCTATTACCCCGACTAGACCAGTGGCGCAGCAGTTACAGCAAGGCACGAACAACCAAACTCGCTCACACGCGACGTCCCAACCTCGGGACGACACCACTCGACGACCGCCTGTTCAGGCGACGAATCCTCAAGAGGATAATCTGCAAGAAATGACGGCGGAGAGTCTATCCAGGCATGCCCGAAGGGAAACCGCCATCGCCCGGCCCTTATTCAGGCCAACGGGGAATTCCGCCGACCTTCGGCATCAAATAGAAAGGGGTCGGACAACTAGACGCGACAACCCTGAAATGAAAGCCCTGAGAAGGAGGGTCTCTGAGCTTGAAACTCTGCAAGCCCGAAAGGCAAGGTTTTCCCTCAACCCACACACTCAAGAGACTGGCCATGTGTACGTGGAAACAGATTCCCCGCTGTCTCCCGAGTTGACTTTAGAGCCACTGCCCGGAAATATCAAAGTCCCACAAATCGGCCTCTATGACGGAACGTCGGATCCCGACGCCCATCTCGGTCACTATATTTCGTGGATGGACTTACATGAGGCCGCCGACGCTCTCAGGTGTCGTATGTTCTCCCTAACTCTGGGACCAAAGGCCTAGAAATGGTATTCCTCGCTACCGGCGCAGTCTATTCGACGTTGGGGTCAACTCCGGTCGGCCTTCCGCTCCCACTTCATCGGAGCACAAGTCTGTCTAATTCCAAAAGAGTCGATAACCAACATCATCTAGAAAGACGACAAAAGCTTGAAGGAGTACGTCGCGTGCTTCAATGAACGCGTACAGAATATGGAACCGTGCCACCCCAAAACTCTCCTTGTGAGCGCCATCTCCGGGCTGAAACCCAAATCGATGTTCAGGTGGGCACTTTGCCAAAACAAGCCCAACACATTTCAAGGATTCTTAATCCGAGCGCAAAACCACGTGATTGCCGAAGAAAGCATGTCGGTCCCTGACCTCAAATTCGCCTCCCAGAGACAGAAGCAGACGTCGCAGAAGAAGAAAAAGTCCTTCGGCAACTCGTCCAAAAAGACCCGCTCTGCGGAACCGAGGTGGGGAGATCCAAATTATCCCGAGGTACGAGCAGCTCGGAAACAATAACGAGAAGATTTGAAG